TGTGGAACGGGAGAGATTGAGGGCCAGCAAAGGAACCACCACCAGCCCCCTCCAAAGCGTGTTCTTCATCCAAAAGGTGATGTGTATGTTGTGGATTGGGGAAGGAGTCCTGCAGAAGGAGCTTTTGTGGAAACCCAGTGGGTTACTCCCAGCAAGTACTGCTCCCTGTCAGACCAACTGGAAAGCACCGCCTGAGGGAAAGAGTCTGGAATTTGTCAGCAGAAGACAGGATAAGGTGAGAGCACACGTTTCTGTTTGGCGACCAGGGAAAAAGGATCCAGCCTGGCTGCGCAGCTGTGACTCATCCGCAGTGCTCACCAGGCCTTGCACCTCCCATAGCCATGTAGTTCAGTATTCCGAGTTTCTCTTAGTGGGGAGAAATTCCCATTCCCTGGAAGACTGCAGAAGGCACCTGGAAGAGTTCTCTGCTCCGAAAGATAAAGTTGTGGGACCATGGAATGGTGAAATTACCTGAAAGGCTGCACAGGGCAGTGGGAAAAAAAATGGTGTTAACGTTGTCCAGTCACCGTGTTTGAGGGAAAATGAAAAGTGTGCCTGTCATAGCATCTCAGATTAAAAAGCAAAGGAACCTTTCAGCTAAGCCATTAGTTTGTATGCTATCTGTGCAAAGAGAGAGGCATTGTTTCAGATCTAGGGAGCAAAGTGATGTGCGGTGTCCATTCTCTTGGACTGTTCATTGAGTTCCATGCAGAGCAGGGCTTCTCATTCTCAGCACTGATAAGCAGCATAGGTAGCAAACCAAGGTGGGGAGGGGGAGGGGGACACATCCCACCCAGTAATTCAGCAGTTCCAAGCAGGGTCAGGTAATGTTTTCAGAGGTTCCAAGGTCACAAGAGAGACCAGGATGAGCGCACCAGCAGCTGGAGGGGAGCCTTTGAAATTCTATGTACCATTTTCTCTATTGGGAAAGGAAGCCTTTGAAACTGTTTGTTAATCCCAAGGTCGGGAGAAGGGCTGGGAGAAGGGCTGCAGAGGGGAAGCCTGGAGGCTCGCTGCAAACGTGAAAGCCCTGAAACCCCAGCAGGTGGGGCACTCAGACTAGCTGGGTGCAAGCTTGCAGGTTCCTGTCAAGTGAATTTCACAAATAAACCTGCTACTTCACCTTCACTGTGCTTGTTGTCCCCTGCCTGAATCCATTCTTTCAAGCAGGACAAGAACTGAGGAGGGGAAGTCCCCTGACTCCCCTAACTTGGGTCTTCCCAGTAATGGTACTGCTGACCTTTTCAGTCAGTAATTCTTTCTCCTGTTTTTTTTTTTTTCTGCATTGTAGGTGCTTGTTAGCATCCATTACCTCTATTCACTGCTTGACAGTTATATCCTCCCTCACCTGCACCCTCACAACAATCTGAAATGTGTCCCTGCTTTACCTAATGTCCCCCTGGGGGCAAAATCACTTGTGCTTGAGAACCACTGACCTAGACCGTTTGTGGAACCTGAATGATCTGGCTTTGGTATGCAGTATTTTTATTATCACTCAGTTTCTTTCTAACTCCAATTGTGTTTGTTTGGGGGGGTTATTTAGAAGTGTATTTTGTAATATACAAATAAAAGGATTCCTAGTTACCCTCTGTTTCTGATTTCTAGATTATCAGCAATGACAGTAAGTAACATACCTTATATAATTTGATTGAATTGAAATTTGTTGGAACTTGCTTTATAGCACAGTATGGTTAATTTTTTTATTTGTGGTATTTTATTTTTTCTCTTTGTAGTCCAAAATTATAACCATGGGTATTTAGAGTTGTCACAGGTGGGCACAGGTAACCAGGTTCTTGGTGATCGCAGACAAAGAATTGAACTGAACACAGAGTTATAGGAGAGAGAGGGAGAGAGAGAGAGAGCGCAGACTTATTAAGCAATAATACACTCCACAGAACATGGGAGTGGGCCAACCCTGAGCAGAGATTGACCTCAGGGGCCAGAGGAATACAGTTCTTAGAGGGTGGATCCTTCCTGGCTAGTTTTGATGGGCTTTTATTGCGCATGTACAAATAGTTGTATTGTTTTAAAGTTAGTGTGCATGTGGTCTCCCATAATTTTCTTCTGTTGGCCACTGCAGAAGGAGGTTGCACAATATTAATTTGTTATAATGCTATTATGATGAAGCAGGGGTCGTGTAGCATCTTCTGTGCAGGTGCATTTATAAATCACCATGATTCAGTGCTTTGCCAGAAAGCACAAACAACGTGTCTTAGAACAGGGTCTCTGTCCTGTATGGATGTCCTTTATCTCAGCCCTGGGGCACCTTCGGAGTTTCCTCCTTCCTGACTATCTCCTGCCTCAGAGTTATACAAATGATATTGACAAAGAAAACAAACAGACCTGGCTGGCATGGCTCGGCTCAATGGATTGAGCGCGGGCTGCGAACCAAAGCATCGCAGGTTCGATTCCCAGCCAGGGCACGTGCCTGGGTTGCAGGCCATGACCCCCAGCAACCGCTCATTGATGTTTCTCTCTCTCTCTCCCCCTCCCCTCCCTCTCTAAAAATAAATAAAAATAAAATCTTAAAAAAAAGAAAAAGAAAACAAACAACAAAATACCAATACACCCAAGTGAGATGCTTGGCAGAAAGAACCCAGTCAGGGGCATTGGCAGGGGTAGGGCTTGGAGGCAGGGATCAGGGGCTGGGTGGCTCCTCACAGGCTCTTGGCTGACAGTCAGCTTCATCCCATCCCAAGACCCAGAGTCCAGTCAGACAAGGAGCGCCAATTCTGCCTGCATGGGCCGAACACCTCACAGCCCTGATCCCAGGTGCTCCACTCTCAGGAGGAGGAGCCTGCAGTGGCCATGAGAGGCTGTGCCAAGACTGCAGACCCTCAGGCCCTGAGTCTGGCTGTCAGCCCTGCAGGGCTGGAAGTGGAGCCAGAAGCCAGGCCTGGAGTGTCCTCTGCTGCCAGTCCCCCCCCCCCCACCACTACCTTCCTGTCACAGCCCCTCTGACTGTGTTTCCAAGGGGAGCAAATTTCTCCATCCTGAGCCAGGCCTGTGCAGTCTTCAGGAGAGTCCAGGTGGAATGCCCAACAGCCTCAGGTGAGACCCCGACATCTGCCTGTCACCTTGGGGGCAGAGCTGGGTTTACTGCTCAGGACCATTTAGACGAGAGAGTTGTGTCCAGACATGCTTTCACATCTCCATCACTGGAACAAGGGCACAAACTCCTGCCATTCTCTGTGTCCTGGCATCTCTGTCTTGGGATCAAAGGACACAAACTATGGCTTCATCCAGAGTGGGGAAGGCTTCCCAACTATAACAAGCCCAGCAGTAGCGGCCTCCCAGTTCAAAAGAAACTGACTTCCACCCTCCTCGCTTCCTGTCTCTGGGACTGGACGAGTGTGATGCTGGAAGTGCATGGGCCCCTCACTACCAGGAGGACAAAACTCAGGCCCAGGAAGACAGAGCAGAAAGACAGCTGAAGCTGTGTGCCTGGTGCTGCTGCTGGGCTGCCTGGCAACTGGGCCTCTGGGCCTGGAGTGAGTGCCAGAGCCATAGTGCAGTTGTGCTCTTGAACCATGTTGCTAATATTTCCGGGCAAGTGGCTGAAGGTGTTTCTGCCTCAGACTTGAGACCACACAGGTAAAACATGCAGCACACACTGCTCTGTAACTTGTAACTGATGTTTCTTCTTGGTCAGCCAAGACCCTGAGCAGAGATCTGAGAACTTGGCTGCTCTGGCTGATGTCTGGACAAGCACCGACCACAGGGAGGCTCACACGTCACAGTGGCTGGACTGTCACAGGAAGGATGCCTGTGCCCATCCCTGACACCACTGTGATGGGAATTTGTGGTTTAGAGTCAGAGCCCCTCTCCTGACTCCAGAGCAGCCACATCTGGATTGTGTCATGGACTCTGTCTGCTTCAGTTGTCTCCCCATTTGAGTCACTGCCCAGGCCAGAGATAGCTGCCCCTACCCTGGGACAGAGTCGGTGGGTGTGTCCCAGTGAGGCCCAGAGGGTTCTAATGAGCCACCTGGCTGAGGACCACAGGCCCAGGCAACACTGCGGCTCAGCATAGTAACACACAAGCCACCAGTGAACATAGTTTATGGGATGTGTGCTGGTTCCTGCGGACATTGTCAGGCTGGAGATGGGAAGGTGCTGTTGCTGTCAGTGAGTACAGCTGTCACCGTAGAACTTAACTCGTCACCTTGGAGGCCGTCACCTTGAACCATTGGGCTGTACATGGGCACGCTTCGCAGACAGATACACGGTACTCCGCCCTGGGGATCAGAGGCAGGTTGGGCTCATCCACCCAGGGCCACCCAGAGAGCAGATGAGTAGCCCCTAAGGCACCCACCTAGAAAAACCATCCTTTCCATTAAACAACCATCTTCTGGGCAAGGGCAAGAGGCTTGGAATCCATCCAACATCAGGCTGCAGTCACTTCTTGGAGCCTCTACTTCCCAAGTGGGCAAGGTGTGTGTGTGTGTGTGTGTGTGTAAACATCCAGCTCCCTGCACAAGGTGGTCTGAAATTGTGCGAACTAAACAAAAGTCTCTTTCTGACTTAGCTTTGAGAGCCACACACTATTTTCACAACACAGATCAGGTTGGTTGTGTGAAGGAGGGAGTGTACAAGGGCATGTGCATTTGGGGGACACCCTGGAGGCTTGCAGCTACACTAGGAATGTGGTTTGCTGCTGAAGGGGAAGGGGAGGAAGAGGGAACAGACCTCTCTACTCATCTTGAATCACTAAGCCTTCTGGGAGAACTCCAGGGTCTGTCCTGGTGTTGGGGGTGGTGAGCATCACGTGGCAGTCTGTGGGTTCCCCTTCCCACTGTATTCAGTGCCAGCCCCTCTGCCAGCATTACACCAGGACTCTGCCCCTCTCCCATGGCCCATGCTGAAAGCCACAGAATATTGAGTTTATGGTGTTCTCTCTGGGCTGTGGTGGTGGGGGAGAAACAGGGAAGGGAACTAAAACCCAAGAAATACACCTTCCTTTAAAAAAGCATAAAAGAAAATAATAGTGGGTATTTATTATTGAAATCCACATAGTTTATGTAGACACTCTTCTTCACAAGCCTGGCACTGGTAGGACAGAAAGATCATTGTTCCTGGTCATGGGGGTGGGTATCCCCTTTTGGTGAATCCACCCCAGCAGGAACAGGGTGGGTCATGCTTAGGTCGTGTCCCTCATGCAGGAGAGGGTATGATGGGATCCTTGCTAATTGCCATCTCTGTGTATTGAATTCAGCTCTGGTTCTAAGAAAAGTGTGACCTCTGGGATCTGTTAGCACCCTTCCTTATGCTTATGCAGATGTAGATGTTTACCCCGTTCTCACCTTCAGTCTCACTGGACTCCCACCATTGGGCCCACTGGAATTTTGTCCTCTTGGGCCATTGTGGACAATATCTGGGAAGGGGTGGCCAGGAATGAACACTGTGCATGTCCATTATCCCATCAGTCTTGACCTCACAAACAAAAGTGTAAAGATACAGTAGGTACTAATTTCAAGATGGTGTCAGTGGTGTATTCAGCCCTTGGGACCCAGGTACAAGGAGAGTGCATTACGGAAGCTCCTGTGTTGCAGGCTTCATGAACGCCATATGCAGACTGGGTGCACTTGTCACAGAAGAAACTCGGTTCTTCTTGCCAATGCAGTAAAGGACTACAGATCAGCAAGTGTATTAGCGTGCAAACAGGGTTTGTTAGTGATACGTTCTCATGGAAGAGGACAGGTCTTGCTGAGACGGGAGTAAAAGGCAAGAAGTTGGGTGGCAAGAGCACCAGGTCCTTTGTCCTGAGGACTTATATAGTTCATGGGATGGGGGCAAAGAACTTACATATTGATTGACAGGTGCCAGCTTCCACAGGGGATGAGACCACTCAAACGTAGGTATGTGTGGGGGTCAGTAGCCCAAATCCTTATCTGGCTTCAGACCCCATTTGGTCATCTTGTCAAATAGATATGAGACAGGAGACAGTTAAAGTTAAAGCAGTCACCCAAAGTTATCTATAGGCTTTCTGTAAACATTAGGGACGCTTCATAAAACAGATAGTGGACAGAGGCATACAGTTAGCCAATTTTGTTTTATGGGCCCTTACCTTGAATGCTGTGGACCCCCTCCCATCTTCTAGGCCTTGGGATGAATAGTTTGAAAGCTTTTCTTTCCCAGATAGTGAAAATGATACCTAGAATTTCAACGTGTTAGCATGGGGTTTCTGGTGATGCTGGACCATCTGGCAATATAAATGGCCCAGGCTCAGGACTGCTGAGTTAGTGGGTGACACATGTCTTCCTCATCCTCCCTGCCTTGGCTTACCATCTATCCTACCTAACACCAGTGCGGGCAGATGTTGCTCCCAGTGTCATTTCTCAGCAAGGGGTGGGTGAGGGTCTTGTTTCACAGGGTATTTTCAGTACCACCCGCCTATGTTGAGGAGGCACTGAGGGTGCACAAGCTCAGTGAGAGGGTGGTAATCTGGAGGAAGGCACATCCTCCACCTCACACCTACCTCTCAGGGCAGTTGAGTCTATGTGGGGAAAGCAGTGGGGTCTGCTCAAACTGTGAATTTGGCTACAGCCCCCTACCCTGTCCTTATCTTCCTTTGTCCAGTGCTAAAGACCCAGAAGACAAGGGCACTGATGGCTGTTCAGGACTTGTGATCTCAGCGATTCACTCGCCAGATTCTGTCTGTGCTCACTCAACTTGGAATGTCAAACTGAAAGGCTGGAGTTCCCATTTCCAGTGTACAGGCTAGGAATCAGGCAGAGAAGTTGAGAATCTTGTCTTACACCCACTGTGGACTGATGTGGAATCTGTATGCTGTGCACCAGGAAATGCTGATCCTGAAGGGGCAGCAAGGAGAGTGAGGAAGACCAGGTGCCCAGACTGAGCCAGGCTCACATCTGTGCACAAGCATACATCCCTCCCTGCCGTTCACCCCTGAGGCTCCGGAGGTTGCAGGAAACTAGGAGAGCCAAGAGAAGCCAAGGGAGGAGGGTAGGGAGCCTATTAAGAGAAAAGGCCCCACTTCCCAGGAGTCAGGGGGAATACCCTTCTCTGGTGAGTCTGTCTCAAATCCCTGTCTCTGGGCAGTAACCAAAGTAGACTGACTCCAGGCTCACCGATCTGCAGGGGTTGAATTTCTGTGGCTGAGAGTAGGAGTTCTTTTTGGGTCTTCCCAAACTCTGCTTTCAGTGATGGGGGAATGAGGGATGTGGGCTTCATATTTGTATGGAGACAAAACTCTTTAGAAAGGCCATCAAAAAACCGTGAAAGAGATTGGTGCTGATATCCCCATATTACTCATGGAACTATTTGTCCATCTCATCTCTTATCATGAGACTGGAGGGTTTGTTTAATCAGTTACTTCTGTAGTTACAATCTTGGGGAAAGTAAGGGGCCACAGACTTCCTATGGCTGTTGATATGCAATTTAATGCTAATGACTCATTCAGTCAATGTGCAAACATAGGTCTTCTCCCCTGAGTGTGTCCTCTGGTGTCTCATGAGATCTAACTTGCATGTAAAGCCTCGTTTGCATTCCCTGCAAACATAGGTCTTCTCCCCAGAGTGTGTCCTCTGGTGTGGGATGAGATGTGACTTCCGTGTAAAGCTTTGCCCACACTCCCTGCAAACATAGGGCTTCTCTCCAGAGTGTGTCCTCTCGTGTGTGATGAGACCTGACTTCTGTGTAAAGCCTCGCCCACACTCCCTGCAAACATAGGGCTTCTCCCCAGAGTGTGTCCTTTGGTGTGTGATGAGATTTGACTTGCATGTAAAGCCTCGCTTGCACTCCCTGCAAACATAGGGTTTCTCCCCAGAGTGTGTCCTCTGGTGTGTAATAAGACCTGACTTGTATGTAAAGCCTCGCCCACACTCCCTGCAAACATAAGGATTCTCCCCAGAGTGTGTCCTCTGGTGTCTGAGGAGATTTGACTTCTGTGTAAAGCCTCGCCCACACTCCCTGCAAACATAGGGCTTCTCCCCTGAGTGTGTCCTCTGGTGTGTGATGAGATCTGACTTCCAGGTAAAGCCTCGCTTGCACTCCCTGCAAACATAGGGTTTCTCCCCTGAGTGTGTCCTCTGATGTCTGATGAGATGTGACTTCCGTGTAAAGCCTCGCCCACACTCCCTGCAAATATAGGGCTTCTCCCCAGAGTGTGTCCTCTGGTGTGTGATGAGAACTGACTTCCAGGTAAAGCCTCGCCCACACTCCCTGCAAATATAGGGCTTCTCCCCTGAGTGTGTCCTCTGGTGTGTGATGAGAACTGACTTCCAGGTAAAACCTCGCTTGCATTCCCTGCAAACATAGGGCTTCTCCCCAGAGTGTGTCCTCTGGTGTGTGATGAGAACTGACTTGTATGTAAAGCCTCGCTTGCACTCCCTGCAAACATAGGGCTTCTCCCCAGAGTGTGTCCTCTGGTGTATGATGAGACCTGACTTGTATGTAAAGCCTCGCTTGCACTCCCTGCAAACATAGGGCTTCTCCCCAGAGTGTGTCCTCTGGTGTGTGATGAGACCTGACTTCTGTGTAAAGCCTCGCTTGCACTCCTTGCAAACATAGGGCTTCTCCCCTGAGTGTGTCCTCTGGTGTGCGATGAGACTTGATTTCTGCGTAAAGCCTCGCTTGCACTCCCTGCAAACATAGGGTTTCTCCCCAGAGTGTGTCCTCTGGTGTGTGATGAGATGTGACTTCCAGGTAAAGCCTCGCCCACACTCCCTGCAAACATAGGGCTTCTCCCCTGAGTGTGTCCTCTGGTGTCTGATGAGACCTGACTTCTGTGTAAAGCCTCGCTTGCACTCCCTGCAAACATAGGGCTTCTCCCCTGAGTGTGTCCTCTGGTGTGTGATGAGATCTGACTTCTGTGTAAAGCCTCGTCCGCACTCCCTGCAAACATAGGGCTTCTCCCCTGAGTGTGTCCTCTGATGTCTGATGAGATTTGACTTCCGTGTAAATCCTCTCCCACACTCCCTGCAAACATAGGGCTTCTCCCCTGAGTGTGTCCTCTGGTGTGTGATGAGATGTGACCCATCACTGAAGCCTTGCCAACACCCTCCATGCTGGGTTGTTACAATTTTTGACATCCCATCTTTCACAAATACCTTGCCTGTGTCCTCTGGACTCTCTTTCTGGCCTCTGCAGGGCTCTTCCTCCATCATTCTCTCATGCTCACTAGAGGTCCTCATTCGTTCTTTGGAAGTTTGGAAAAAGAGTCTTGAGATTCTCCTCTGACTGATTCTTTTAAACAAAGGTTTGGACCTTTCTTTGACCTCTTGACCTTCAGCTTTATCATTCCAGCTGTGTGTACCAGTATGTTGCTGCTGCTGATTCTGATCCTCTGGACAAGGTTCCTCTGCTTGGAGGTGTTTTCTTGCAGATGTTCCCGGGAGAATCTGGGAGGGATGACTGAGTTTCACATGTTGGCTGAGGAATTTCTGACTGGAGAAGGCCAGAGAGCAAGAGGGACATGGGTGCACCTCTGGCGTTGGTTCTGCTGAAAGAGACAGGTTTGGTCAGGGCAGATGTTCATGAGAATGCCTGGGCCATATGACTTGTCTCCTGGTGAGACCTGTCCCATGAATCACTTACTGTGGCGACAACACAAGTTCCATCTCCCACAAAGTATCCACTTGCAGTCTATTTTCCTTTTCATTTTTATGAAGTGCATCTTCTTCAGAAATCCAGAAAGCCCACATTAAGGGTCTTTTCTAATATTGCCCGGACTAGGGATTTTCGAGGAGCATCAGAGGCCATTTTACTCCCTGTGTGGATGGAACTGCATTGACCTTTCCCTTTCATAGGTATTTTCTAAGTCATGTTAAAGAGGAAAGCCACAGGCCCCAACTAGGAACTGCTCCTCTGTTTTCCAAAACAGTAAAATAAAATGTCCTTCCTGCCCTTGCTTGTGCGGCTCAGTGGACTGAGTGCCAGCCTGCTAAGCAAGGAGTCGCAGGTTCAATTCCCAGTCAGGGCACATGCCTGGGTGTGGCCCAGGTCCCTAGTAGGGGGCGTGTGAGAGGCAACCACACACGGATGTTTCCCTCTCTTTCTCCATCTTCCCCTCTAAAAATAAATAAATAAAATCTTTAAAAAAATGTCCTTCCTCAAGCCTAATACCAAATATTTGTGCTTCATTTCATTCAGTGTTAGCTCATTTCAAATACACTGAGAAGTCGTGTTTCAAAATATTTCTCCAAACACACATCTTATACACCTGACTCCTGTTCCTCTTTGGCCAATGCACCATGCCACTTGGAGATGAAGTGATCTCTCAGGAGATTCCCCACCAGAGTTTATTTTCTAAAAATTAACAAAGTATAATCAGAACAGAGAACACACTTTCACTCATGAAAGTCCCCAGTGTCTCAACTCGGGTCATTGGCACTGCATTTCCAGGCTGCTAAGCACCTATCTGATCTCCGTTCTTACCCCCTATGCTGAGAGGAGACCTGAGTGACCCTCAGCCAGTTCAATGCCCCACCTCTTCTCTTCCCAGCACTAACTGTTCCCTCTGCCTGGAATCCTCTGCCTGCAGGTATTTTTGTATATGTTATCTCCTGAGGTGCCCTTCCCGGACCACCTGCCATACTGCACCTCCCCTCACACTGATCCCTAGGCAGTTGTCCTGGATTAGTTTTCTCCAAAGCACTAACTGCTGTGTAGTGTTATGCACATGCAAGCATGTGGGCCTGAGTTTCCCTCCTTCACCCGTCAGCTCCTCAAGAGCAGTGATTCTGATCCTCATGTTAATCTGTATTTCTAGGTCCCAGGACCCTGTGCCCACAGAGTAGGATCTCAGCTGACAATTCACTGAAATAATAAGCGAATGTGCCCTGCCTGAATGGTGTGGCTTAGTAGGTTGGGTGTTGTCCAAAAACTGAAAGGGTACAAGTTCGATTCCCAGTCAGGGCACATGCCAGGGTTGTGGACCAGTTGGGGACATACCATAGACAACCGATTAGTGTTTCCCTTGAACATTGATTTTTTTCCTCCCTCCTGTCTATTCTCTATGAAAATAAACCAAATCTTTTGTTAAAAGATTTGATTTATTTTCAGAAAAGGGGAAGGGAGGGAAGGTGAGGGAGAGAAACATCAATCTCTGGTTGTCTGTCACCTGCCCCCTACTGGGGACCTTGCTGAAACCTAGGCATGTGCTACAACTGGGAATCAAACTGGTGACCCCTTGGTTCACAGGCTGACACTCAATCCACTGAGCCACATCAGCCAGTGCAAAATTTTTAAAAAATAATGAATGCCTATAAGAAATGTTTTATTTAGAAGTATGGAGGAAAGTTAAGAAGAAACAGCTACAAAAGTGGCAGAGAAACTGCATTGGTGAGAGAACTGGTTAGTGCTTGAAAACTGTTCTTTTTTGCCTCTTAGCCTTTCAACACTATATGTGGTTGTATATTTTGTGCATGAAATATTTTTAAAATAAAAAAATATAAAAATTTTGCCTAAGAGCCAAAGGCATGTGAATGAATTGTGAATTTCTGAAGCATTTGAGTTGAAACTTTACTGACTTTAGTGTGGTTTTACCCTACTTAAGAGTTGGATCATGAATATTTCTATGGAGATTTCTCTTTTCTTTCTGTTTTGAAGAACAGTGGTGCCCACCTGTCCTGGCCACGAGCTCTCTCTTCCACTTGCTGCCCCACTTGCTGCTCAGCTCCTGGCCATACTCGTCCCCAAACCAGACCAGCAGCTCACAGCCCGGACTGATGACCCGGCAGGTTCGGTAGAAAATCTGCCTTTGGTATTGAAAGGCCACCAGGTTCTGCTCTTCATCATCCCGGGCACAGTTCACATACCTGGGATTGAGGCAGAGGAAGGGAAAGAAAACCACAGTGGTGAGGTCCCACTACCTGTTACATCCATGTCCAGCTCCTCACTGATTCTTAAGGCCCTCAGGCTCTGGTGTTACCCACTGTCCCTCATGCTCCCAGGGAACCTTTGTTCAGTGTCTGAGCGTCCGTCAGCATGTCATGTGAATTCCTGCCTCCAAATCCTGCTTGCAGTGCTAATGCTGCCTAACACGATTTTCTAAAACCCTGTTCTAGACTTAACCTCCACCTGACTGACCATAACATCCAGTGACCTCTGGGTTCTCCAAACTCTAAATCAAGTTGTCTCACACCACAGAACCTGGTGCTTGATCTAGGGCTCTGCTTCTAAATTAGCTCACCAGTTATCCAGTACTCAGCCCACATCTGTTTTCTCTTGAGAGGCCTTTCTGCAACCCCCATACACTTTATTTAGGGTGCCATTCACTTGGCTGGCCCGAGGTGACCATAGAAATTGCAGGTCTTTTTGTCTTAGTAAAATAAAACAGAACAGTAGTAGTTGATTCACATTGTTATCCTTGATAAAAGAGAGCCCCTCTTAGGAAAGGGGCACATGGCCATTCCTTTTCAGGCCTCAGAACCCAGCTCTAGTTAGAAGGCAGGCCGGGATGGTTTGCTGCCCTCACAGGTTCAGGCCACCCTTGGTTTGTGGTATCTTGACACGGTGCACTTCTTGGAAATTATAGTTAAATGCTTCTAAAAGCAATTTTTTTTATGTCTGTCTGCAAGAAGTCCACCATAAGGACAGGGGGTTGTGTGATCTGTTTAAGTAATGTATTCCTTCATTTAAACTGGAATAAATTAAGTGTTTAATTAATGTTCATTTGATAAGTTAAAGTGTAATCCAGTGTCTCTGGTGAATCTAGGCTCTTCAAGGTCCTTTCCAGTGCCCATGTTGTGTCTAGCAGAGAGCTTTATATTTTGAGGACATATGCTATACTTTTTCCCTCAATGTCCCCTGAAATGAAAGAACACTGTATGGAGAGAAAGAGGAACAAAGGATTACGGGAGACCACTGAGGGAGGCAGGATGAGAGGGAAAGATATATGGGCTTGGGGGGGATGAGAGTCCCCTCTGGCACCCAGTGACCTGTTGACCTCACCTCATCCAGTTGGCCCAGGATCTGTCTTTTCCATCCACATACTCATAGCAGTTTCTCCCTTTGGTGATCTGTGTTTCAGAAAAGAAGTTAAAAGACTTTTTATTCTTTTTGTGGGGAGGTAATAGTCAGAAGAATTATTTTACTCTACTGTCATCAAAGCTCTTCCATCGAGCATGGGGATTCAACTGCCAACTGTGACCACATGATATTGGTCTTACTCATCTTCTACACATCTGAGTCTACCTGTCCAGTCAGGGCAGGAGCCCCACAAAGGAGGAGACACTCTTTTGTGTCTGCACCACTTTGCTCCCGCTCACCTTCTGATCCTTAAACAGGAGCTCTGTGTTCATGTAAAGTCCAGTCAGTACACAGAGCTAACCATATTGTCCCCTCCATGTCTAGCATGTAGGTGAGGTCCAAGTCTCAGTAGGAATATGAGAAGCCAGAGGACAGTGGAAGAGGTAGATAGTTCTCACCAGCCAGGAGTATCTGCTCTTGGCTGCCTCTCCATCTTCTGTGATGTGTCCTTCATAAGGGCCAAAGTGCAGACCCACTGGCAAGTCTGCTGCCTCATTCCACACTCCAAGCCCAGCCTCAGGGATGCATGATGGCCCGATTCTCAACCCAGGGGGCAGGGTGAGGGCTGAGCGGTGGGGATGCCCCTTGTCCACTGCAGTGTCCTTTACAAATGTAGGTGGCCCATGCACAGCACAGCTGTTGATGAAGAAGTTCTGACACTTCTCACAATCTGGAGGTGAGAGCAACAGGGGTTAGGGAAGGTATAGCACGTGTTCCTGGACACAAAGAGCTCCAGAGGGAGTCCCACAGTCACATCATTGAGACTCAATCCTGTACTCCAGGTCACTAGAGGAAGGGGATGATTTGGGTCCAAAGGACTAGATGAAATTATTGTATCACAATAAGCTTCTTAGTGAGGGTCACTTACAAAGGTAGTCATCATCCTGGGGCTCGTTGACCTCTTGGTACACATGGCCCTTTCTTTCTTGTAGGATGCACACCTTCATGTCCATCTCCTTTTTCCTGGGTTCTGATTTGGAGAAGGCCAGGTAAGTAAGTGAGGTTGGTGAGGTCTAGAGTGTTAGTTCCCATTTTGTCAGATAACACAATCTCCTCCCATCAAATGATTACCTGTCCATTTGCGTACTCTGGTATTTTATTCCATTAACTCTTGGTTCAAAAGACTAAGACTCTAACTACAGATGACTGATTCAATTTTAGTTTCTAGATTTTCCCATTACCAGCCAATCTTTCCCATTTTACTTGCCAATCTTTAATCATTCATAAAATATTTATGGAGAGCACATTACATTTTAGGCCTAGGCACACAACACCAATAAAGTGTGGTTGCTATTATCACAGATGGATTTATTGGACAACTTGTATGTGTCACCTGTTTTAAATTCAATTTAATATTTTCAAACAATATATGAGTGATGTTTCCTTATCTTCACTTTACATATTCAGTAGCTCAGAGAATTTATAGGATTTTCCCAAAGGTCCAGTGGTTAACTTCAGTCCTCAGCTTATCCCAGCTTAAATCCAGGCCTACCCAAAGTCCACCCCACATACCTAGGTCATACTTATCAGCCCTTCTATAGGACTTAGAGGAACTAAAGCTTCCAAATTATTTTCTCTTACCCAATTTTTGTGTAGTGTGCTTTTCAAAGGGACATGCTTCTCCAGGAGGGGACATTGGTTTCTGGGCATGTTCTGAGTCATTTGCAGTCATCCAATTTGCTGTTCCTGACAATTCCTTCAAACTATATTCCTTGCTTAATGGCACCTTGGATGTTGCCTTCAATGTAAGAGTCACATATTAAAAGATAACATGTATTTATTGTTTTAAGGGTTATTATATATTTTACATGCATGTCTTTAATACTTTAACCCTTGGAAATACCTAGAGAGTATGAATATCACAGGGGATAGGGCCAATGTGGGTAATGAATCCAAGATTAGACCCCATGCCTATGGTCCTTTTCTTTCAACTGTCTCTATAATATTGAGAGTGAGGGATATGGGGAAGAGAATAAAGAAATAAATGGCAGAAACATATCTGGACAATAAATAAAATGGTGATCAAGTCTGCAATACCTTGGAAAGAATATTTGTACTTAGATTAGCTGGTTCCCACCAATTGTTTGAATAAGGCTGTACCAGTAGCTAGTTGTCTTTAGTGTCCTGATATATAACATACCCATTTTTAATGTTACAGTGAACATGCAATTAAATAATGTTCAACAAAGTGTCCTGTGAATTATGTAATACAGCATGAATGTTCTGCTATCAATTTACCCCTCAGCTCTCTCCATATTTCAGTCTCACAGAAATTACCTTCGGCGTTCATTAATCATCTAGTTCATTTTGTAATCATGAAATCATTCACTCAGCAAACATTCAGGGGGCCCTCAGGAGCCCTAATCTGGGCCTGAGACCTCTGAGAAGACCTAGGTATGGACCAGGCTCACAAAGAGCTCCTAACACAGAGGTAGGCAGGCTGAACAAATGATTCAAAACAGGATGAGAGTGGCCTCATTAGAGCTCAGACAGAGAACCTGTTACCTCACCCTATAAAAAAGGGCATTTGGAATGAGTTCCAGACAGATGAGTTTCTGTTGAGGAATGTGTAACCTATATGAAGCCCTTAAGTCATTTTACTATTTGTTGTTTCTCAATCATCAAACCTGAAGCTCCTCACGGGTGGGAGATGCTCTTTGATTAGGGTGGGAGGCTATGATCCAGGGATTTTACATTTTTCTTCACCTGGGGCCATCCTCTGTTCCAACTGCCTACACATTATATGCTTTCTGTAGTCAGAGGGTATAGTGCATCTCTCACTTCAGCAAAGCAGAGAAGAACTTTGGTTGAAACCATCAGTCAGATGAATGATGTAATGACATGTATAAGACAATGTAAACTTTAGAAAACTCTGCAAGTTTTATTTTTTAATTTAAAGATTTTGTTTATTTTTTTTTGAGAGAGGGGAAGGCAGGGAGAAAGAGGGAGAGAAACATCGAAGTGAGAGATGTTTCAGTGACCAGTCACTTCTCACAAATACCCGCATTGGGAACCTGGCCCACAACCCAGGCATGCGCTCTGACCAGGAATCAAACGGGTGATCTTTTGCTTTGCAGGATGACACCCAAGCAATTCACACTGGCCAGGGAAAAACTGAAAGTTTTAATGAGTTTGTAAGTGGTTTAGAGAAGAAACTATGGATTAGACTGCACAACCACTGATACTGTGATCTTAGACATATAGTCAAACATTTCTATATCTCTGAAAGATCACTTTCCTCATTGTAAATGGTGACAGTTACAGTACCTTCCTCATCAGGTGGTTGTATGTATGAGTGAGTTAATTCACATAGAATTCTTAAAGTCTGAAACATTGTGAGAATGAAACAAATGGTAGTTACTATTGCTGCTGTAGTTGTCAACCATTAAGATGATGATGAGCCCTGGCTGGTGTGGCTCAGTGGACTGAGCACTGGCCTGCAGACTGAAAGGTCACCAGTTCCATTCCCGGTCAGGGCACATGCCTGGGCTGTGGACCAGGTCCCCCACTTGGGGGTGTGGGAGAGGTAACCTCTTCATATTTCTCTCCCTTTCTTTCTCCCTCCATTCCCCTCTCTAGAAAATTGATAGATAAAATCTTTAAAAAAAGATGATAATGTTGGACAGTGTGTAGAAGAGACCAGGAAAGGAAGGCGGCAGTTCCTAAGATACTTTCTGCATTTCCCTGCTCTTACCTGCATTTCTATCTGTGAGGAAAATTTTGTTGTCAACAGAATTTGGGAAATACTCACGTTCTGGTGTTTACTGTGTTCTCTTCTGAAGGCCACCCAAGGTTTCACTGAAAGATGACAAGAAATCAGTGTTTTGGTTGGTAAATGTTTCCAGAATCTGGAGATTCTTATTAGGGACACAGAATTCTGAATGAGAGTGTGGCAGGAAAAGAAAACCCCATGAAAAAGCTTCTATGCTCTGCAGCTTCTTTGATAAGCAGTGCTCTCTGTACCACCTGCAAAATTTCAACAGTGCCTTTTGTTTTAATGTGACAGGACATAGCTGAGCAGTAGCTATTTTTAGGTAGGAACTGACCAGCAGCTGTTCCCAAGGCAACAGTTATCTCAAGGCCAAAACACTAACCTTCACTTCTGCTTCTGTATGCTTGCTTGTAGCAGTTGTTTCCCCCCTCCCTTTTTGCCTTGTAACAAGTATTTAAAGGAAACTCCAGCTTAAGCTCTTTGCTCAGAATTTGGGTAGTTAACCCCTCTGAGCCCGCACGTAATAAAAGTTTGTGCCTCGCCATCTTTCCCGAGTGTGAGTTATTTTCTGTAACAAGAGTAGTCCAAGAACAATCCCAGGATGATTGGAAAATGTTTTCTGATGTATCATTAAGGCCAATGCTTCTATTTGGGCCATCCACTAATTTCATTAGAATGATAACAAAATAGACAAAGTGTCATCTATGCTTCACCCTTTGTTCATAAAGTATTACGTTTATTAAAAAATAAATTGGCCTCTCCTGACAAAAATGTAATAAAAGTAACTGCGCACAAAACTCCATGTCTTCCACATAACCCTTTCTCCGTCCTCTTTTCTTCATTCAAACTGGCCTTGTCCTAGCTGAGGGCACCAGGACCACCCGGCCTCCTTTCTCTGGTATCCTCCCCCCTGGGCACATACCGGCCACCCACGCCCTTCCTCAGTCATTAGACTCCGGTCAGCACCCACAGTCTGTCGACCACAGAAACAGAATTCCAGTCACATTAAAGATCACATCTTGACCTCAGCCGTGTTTCGACCCCAGACCCATGAAAGTGGACCGACCCCACCCTCCGAACACTCATGATACTGGACAGAACATGGGGCCACATCAGGAAATGATCCGGTGATCAACCCCTCCCGACCCTGGCCCTCCCCCACTCCCGTCATCACCACGGTTAACACTGTTCCCGTTCGTCTCCATGTAGGCCATTGCGCGGCCAGGTGTGGGGACCCTCCTCACCGGCCAGACCCGCCTCCCTCTCTTGTGCTGACGACTCTTCTGAATTAGTTATTTCTCTCTCACTTTATGTTCTTACACATTCACTGCTTACTAATGCGTCTATAAATATAGACGATTACGTTGCCTACGTGAAAGTTGACGGGAACAGCCCCTCACTGTACGACACACTGTTGTGCATCTTGCTTGTTCGCTGCACCAGCAAACCTGTTCCCTGGTTACGTTCTGAGATGCCGCCCGACCCACACCAGGTCCGAGCCGGGAGGGCAGCGCTGGCTCCTCCTGCTGCTCACCTTGCTGCCTCGGAGCCCGTTCTTCATCCGAGTCTTCACGGTCCCCCTCCTGGAGCTCCGTGGCCCGCCTGCGGCGGTGACACAGGAAAGTCCGGTCGAGGGACCTGGAGACCTGGAAAGAGACAAGACCTTTGTCCTGAAAGCAGAGAGCGTGGGGGAGGGACAAGCCCCAGGAAACCCGTCGGACTGGCTCCGATGGGACGGGAGAGTCTGCAGCGAGTTGCCGTGAGCCCCGCACCCTCGTCAGCGCTGGCCCCGCTCTGACTGAAGGAGCAAACTCCCCCCATCGGTGTCCATGCGGGAGGGAGCTGCAGGCGGATGGAGCCCCCTGAGCCGGGGCCAGCCCAGTGCCTGCGGGGTCTCCAGGCCCCTGGGCCCAGGGCGTGCGCCTGGCTGGTGAGCCCGTCCGAGTTCCTCTTCAGGTCCCGGTACCGGCCTTTCTCCCCGACGGCAGGGCGCCCAGAGAGGGGGACAGAGGGGCTGGATGAGCCGAGCTGCCCGCAGGCCCGCCTGCGGGGGCGCCCTGGTTCCCGACCCCCCCCCCCCTCCGCGCGCCGCCTCAGGGCAGGCTCCGGAGGCCGCCTGAGGAGCCCGTCAGCCGGGCGGGCCTGTGGCAGCGCAGGAACCGCGCTTCTCCCGGGGAAGGGCCGGGAGGCGCCCCGGGGTCCGGAGAAGCCCGCGCGAGGCGCAGGCGCAGTGTCCGGCAGGCAGACCGCCGTCTCTCGGGCTGAGAGGCTCGGGGTCCCTCAGGACTCGATCTGCGTCTTCCGGGCGGAGGACACTCAGCGTCCCGGGGGAGAGGGTCAGACCGCCGCGGCTGAGGGGAGTCGGGGCGTCTCACGAGGGGCGTCCGGGTCCCCTCCACTGAGTCGGTTTCCAGGACGACGGCATTCGGGGTCTCTGCGTTTGGGGAGATTTGGTCTTCCCGGGCGGGCGGGCTGCAGGAAGGGCGCCCCGAGCCGAGGGGACCTGGGGTTCCAGGCTGTTTGGGGGTCTGAGCGTTGGGGGTCAGGAGACGTGGGGTCCTCCGGGTTAGCGGGCGCGCCCCTCGGTGCTGAAGGGGTTTGGGGCCCCTCGGGATGAGGGCATCTGGGGTCTCTCTGGCTGGGCTTGGAAGGTCTCGGGCTGAGGGTTCCCCAGGGCAGGGCTCCCCGCTTACCGGTCAGTCTCCCGGGGCCCCTGCCGCGCTGCCCACCTCTGCGGAGCGTCCTCTCCGGGCTCCTGGGCTTCCCGCCCTGTGGAGGAGCCTCCATCCTGGATAGCCGCGTGGGCACAATCCGCCAATCAGAGCTGCTATCCCAGGGCCCTGTCCACCAATGGGCGGTCAGAAGAAGCTGAAAGGGCGGGGCAGAGGGGCGGAGCCCCCTGGGTGCGGGACTGGCCAGCGGAAGACCCGCCCCACCCCGTGGGGATTGGCTACCCTGGGTCTCCCCGAGCGCCAGTCGCTCAGCCTGCAGCTCCGTGGCTCGTTTTCCCGCAGCAGGTGAGGGGTCCGCCTCGCAGGAGCTGAGAGTCCCTAGCCGGCGCTGGACCTCCGGGTGGATGTGGCCCTCCTGCCGCCTGACAGAGTGTCTTTGTTCCTCCAGACTGTGGTCGGGATCCCCAACTTACATGTAGCCCAGTCCGTGCCCCCCCACCCCCACCTTTTCAAACCCACTTTCAGCTAGAGCTGCCTAAGCAGTGAGGATGCGGTCAAGACTGCATTGCATTCCGTGGAAACTTCAGTCAGTAAATTTTGAGCACGCAATTCATAGACACAAAATAAGTCCCAGAGGGCCCAAACATTTAAACACAACAAATAGAATAATAAGTATACTGGAAAACACACTGGGAGAATTTCATGTCTCAAGGAAGTGGTGGTTACGATTGATAGGTGTGTTTAACTCAGGTGTAAAAACATTTCAGAAATAGGAAGACGAGATAAAACCAAACAAAACTAAATAAATGTAGAAATGCTGGAAAAACCTACAAGTATTTTGCATAAAAATAACGTAAAATGTGAGTACAGTGGTCCACAGAGCAGGGTCAGTTTCGCTGCTACTGGCTTTCACGGAATAAAGTGGGAAGAGTGATTCTGGTTCTTACCTCGTTTTGAGCACGTAAATATAACTTGATTTCCATGGATCTGAAATGAGCCAATTAACTGTAATTATTACTGTGAAATTGCATAAAGGGAAATCTCAATGAAGTGGAGTTGGGGGTCAGTAGGGGTGCTGTCACATAGCATCACCTGGGGTCAATTACAGGAAAAATTGTCTGTCTCACAGGCCCCAACATGAAGATACTGTGTGCTCCTAGGAGGAGCCGACTCCCCAGCACCTCAGCCAGAGAGAAACCATCCTCACCCTGAACTGACACTTTTCTGCAATGCACTTTCATTTGAAGTGACCCTTCCCAACTTCCTCCTTTCTCCCTGTAAAATACATTCCTCTCCTTTACTTGTGGAGCTGGCCTATGATTTTTGCTACAGCTTCCTTGCCCTAAATTGCAATTTTTTATTGTTTCCGAATAAACGGCTTATCTGCTGGTAAAATAACTGACTGCTATATTTTTAAGGTAGACATAATTTGGTTGCCTGTATGGGGATCCAGAGGACTCCTGACATGTCTGAGGCTGATGAGCAATCAGGTGCAGTGTCCATGCTCTGAAAGATTCCGGGAAGGGTCCTTTGGTGCAGACTCCCCAGTGATCATTTTGAGAATACCCATCCAGAAATAACACCCTCATACCCTGTGATCCAGAAATTCTACTTTTCAAAATTTTCTCCTAGTAGCCCTGGCCTGGTAGTTCAGTTGGTTAGAGTGTTCTGCGTATATGCCAAGGTGGTCAGTTCCTTCTCCAGTCAGGGCACATACAAGAAGCAACCAATGAATGAATACATAAGAGGACCAACTAACTCTCTCTCTCTTTCAAATTAATAAATGAAAAGAAAAGCATGAAAAATTCCCCCCAGTTATGCTTCCCTGTGTATGAAATGAAGTATGTTTAACATATTTTATCCAACACACAATAACATATAATTTTTAAGATTTCAGTAGAAGAGAATTTGTTAAATTATGGTTTGCTCACACTGTAAAATATTGTAGAACATTAAAAATGGGTGAGAATATATATTTCACTGAAGAAATAAAACGTAGTAAGGTGGTTCTAATGGATTTTTTAAAAGATTTTATTTATTTATTTTTAGAGAGGGAAGTGGGGGAGATAGAGAGAGACAGAGAAACTTCAATGTGCGGTTGCTGGGGGTTATGGCCTGCAACCCAGGCATGTACCCTGGCTGGGAATCGAACCTGGGACACTTTGGTTCCCAGCCCGCGCTCAATCCACTGAGCTGCACCAGCCAGGGCTGGTTCTAATGGATTTTAACAGAGAATGATTTGTAAATAATGTTATTATGAGAGAAAAGTATCCTGCAAAACAAATTATGTAAAAAAAAAAAAAAAAACCCAGGCAGAAAATGTGCTGAGGAGACATAGGGACTAATCACAGGGACCAGGGCCTGGGCAACGTGGAGGGGAAAATTTGCTTTTCCTTCATGTCATTTGGAATGTTGTGTCATTTGTTTTCTCCTTTACTTAAAATAAATGTATCTATAAACATTTTTGTAGATAAAAGAATGGATGAGAAATAGTTGGTTATTTATGTATGCATTTAAACATGACTCAACAAAATTTCTGCACACTCATTAAATCCAGTGTCCCACACTGCCTTCCTTATCTGAATAGCATCCTGACCACCCAAAGTATCCAATTTGCATCCAAAACTGGATTCCAGCAGGAACATTTCCATAGTACAAAATATATGGTGTCATACACTTACTGTTTGTGAGATGAAAACCATTTATTATAAAAACAATAAATTTTATATTTAAGTATTGTATCCAAGGTCACTTATAGAATGCTATTAAGAATATTATAAGCCCTGACTAGTGTGGTTCAGCTTCCCTGTGTGGCATCTGGCAACTAGGGTTCATTGTCCAGTTCCAACTCTGGAGTCTGGCTGTGGGGTCTTGGTTACGGATCTGGGTCCTGTCTTTAAGGTCTGTGGCCTGGGTTTGAATCCATTTGGCTATGGGTCTCAGATCTGGGGTCTCTTTGGGTGTGGCTTTGGGGTCTCTGGGTTTGTGTGTGGGGTCCATGTGGCTGTCTATAAATTTATAGTTGTTGGCTCCAAGTCAATGCCAAGAGGAGTCTGGAGGCTGGGGTGTGGTGAAGAAGGAAACTTTAGTGCAAATACCTGAATTTTAATATAGAATGGCTGTGAGTACAGAAGGGTTGTTAAGAAGCTCAGTATTGTTACAGGTGAATTATGAAGCGCCACACTGTGTATCAGTTCAGTAGTGTTGCTTCTTAGTTACTTGGCATCAGGGCTGTGAGGAGGCCCTGAAGTGAGGCAGCCCTGGGGCAAGTCCCTCCCCCTGCTGTTCTGCTTAGGGCTTCTCCACTTATCTACATGACTTCTCATCTAGACCTTCATTTCCTCTTTGCTCAGCTGCATTTGTACATGAAGAAGTAAAAATTGGACGAGGAGCCCCTCTAAATGAGATCAGGCTGGGTGAGCAAAGAAAAGGCCTCTGGTGTTGTCCCCACAACAGACTAGATTTTTATTATTATTAAATTATGCCATGTTTTCCTGTAGTACTTTTTAAGCCCAAACTGAGACAGCCTTTTTTGTTGTTGTTGTTGTTGCCGCTTAAATTATATAAAAATAAAAATAATTGAAAATCCTACCCAAACAGGTAATAACTGCTATTATATTAAGTATATGCACTTCTAAACAAGGTGGGGGTGTGTAGGGTGGGATGGGCAGAGGAAGGCAAAGGGAAAAGATTGGGAAACCCTAATAGAATAACAATAAAAATCATTTAATAAAATAATAGCATATACCCTTCCAGACATCACTACTTGCACATTCTTCCACTTTCTCTGAATTTAATGTATTATTTGGGATTTGTAATATGATGCAAAATTTGTACATTTTGAGGCTTTCTCCCTATGTGTGGATTTATCAATACATTTTCCCAGACTATTTTTTATGTGCTATTTTTATTATCATTCACTTCAAATTATTTTTTAACTGCAATTGTAATTTAATTTGTGGGTTATTTTGAAGTGTATTTTATAGTTTTTAAATATTAGCACTTTCTAGTTATCTTTTATTACTGATTGCTAGATTACCTGCAATGAAAACAAGAAACATACTTTATATAATTTCAACCCTTTGATATAGTTTTTTTGAAACTTGCTCCATAGTACAATATGGCAATATGGTCAATAATAAAAAAAAAGCTCCAAGCATGATTCTGTGATGCCATTTCTTGTTCATTTTGGGAATAACACCTTAGTGCTGGTCAACAAGAAAAATGGTGGATCCTGGTGGAATCTCAATGGCTGTTGATGGCAATGGTATTTAGAATCATATTTTTAAATGTCTCAAGGTATAGACTGTCATTGTGATTACCTTGTGACTAGTTTCCAGATTAAGGCAAAGGAAGCAGTAATCATGTTGTATGTGCCATTTGTTGGAACTTGCTTTACAGTGTAATAGAGTCAGACTTTTAGAAGTTCCCAGTGTGCTTGACAGTCCATTTGTAATTTGCTTTGTTTGTTGCTTCTTCGTTGAACAATGAAGAAAGTAAAATCTATTTAAAATAAATTTTAACCCAATAGGTTAAAAAGATAAAACCGCTGTCATTTTAAAAGTGAAAATCGAATGAACTATTTGGCCAAGCCACTAATACGTGTCCCAAGCACAATCACCTCATCTTCAGACAGTAAGACTCCTAGCAAGAGCTTGTTGATCCTCCTACTGAACTCCTTGTGTCTTAAGGTTGTGGGAGTTGCCCAACAAAAATCAACCTGCTGGGTATGCTGCCTTTTTTTCCTAAATTACCTGCATGTCTCCCATTTCACCTTTGAAATCTAAGACTCTATTCTTCCATTTACCAAAATACCCTATACACCATATTACTTCATTGTTTGGTATTCACTTTAATATGAATTCTCTTTGCCCTTGTATTAGACATTGAATACCTCCCATTAATCAGATTATGTCAATTTGATTGTTATCCCAGCTTTTAGAATTTACTAAATTCTGACTGGAGACAGTGAAAGTTAAAGCAGTCACCCAAAGTTATCTATGGGCTCTTTCTGTAAACATTAGGGACCCTTCATAAAACAGATAGTGGACAGGGGCAAACAGTTAGACAGTTTTGTTTTATGGGTCCTTTCCTTGAGTGCTGTGGACCCCCTCCCATCTTCTAGGCCTTGGGATGAATAGTTTGAAAGCTTTTCTTTCCCAGATGGTGGAAATGATACCTAGAATTTCCATGTGTTAGCATGGAGTTTCTTGTGATGCTGGACCATCTGGCAATAGAAATGGCCCAAGGTCAGGACTGCTGAGTTAGTGGGTGAGGGATGTCTTCCTCATCCTCCCTGCCTTGGCTTACCATCTATCCTACCTAACACACCAGTGTGGGCAGATGTTGCTCCCAGTGTCAGTTCTCAGCAAGGGGTGGGTGAGGGTCTTGTTTCACAGGTTATTTTCAGTACCACCCGCCTGTGCTGAGGAGGCTCTAAGTATACAAGCTCAGAGAGAGGGTGGTAATCTGGAGGAAGGCACATCCTCCACCTCACACCTCCTTCTCAGGGCAGTTGAGTCTATGTGGGGAAAGCAATGGGGTTTGCTCAAAACCTGAGTTTGGCTACAGATTCCTACCCTGTCCTTATCTTCCTTTGTCTAGTGCTAAAGACCCAGAAGACAATGGTACTGATGGCTGTTCAGCAGGACTTGTGATCTCAGTGATCCACTTGCCAGATTCTGTCTGTGCTCACTCAACTTTGAATGTCAAACTGAAAGGCTGGAGTTCCCATTTTAAGTGTATAGACTAGGAATCAGGCAGAGAAGTTGAGAATCTTGTCTTAGGTCACACAGCTGGAGAAGACAGAGCTGAGACTCACATCCACTATGGACTGATGTGGAATCTGTATGCTGTGCACCAGGAAATGCTGATCCTGAAGGGGCAGCAAGGAGAGTGAGGAAGACCAGGTGTCCACTGAGCCAGGCTCACATCTGTGTACAAACTTACATCCCTCCCTGCCATTCACCTCTGAGGCTCCAGAGGTTGTAGAAAACTAGAAGAGCCAAGAGAAGCCAAGGGAGGAGGGTAGGGAGCCTATTTAGAGAAAAGGCCCACTTCCCAATAGTCTAGGGAATTCCCTTCTCTTGGTGAGTCTGTCTCAAATCTCTCTCTCTCTGGGCAGTAACCAAAGTAGACTGAGCCCACACTCACCCATTTGTAGGGGCTGAATTTATGTGGCTGCGAGTATGAGTTCTTTGTGGCTCTTCCCAAACTCTGCTTTCAGTGATGGGGGAATGAGGGATGTGGGCTTCATATTTGTATGGAGACAAAACTCTTTAGAAAAGGCCATCAAAAACCATAAGATTGGTGCTGATATCCCCATATTACTCATGGAACTGTTTATCCATCTCATCTCTTGTCATGAAACTAGGTTTGTTTAATCAGTTACTTCTGTAGTTACAATCTTGGGGAAAGTAAGGGGCCATAGACTTCCTATGGCTGTTGATATCCAACTTAATGCTAATGACTCATTCAGTCCACCCACAAACATAGGTCTTCTCTCCTGCGTGTGTCCTCTGGTGTCTGATGACAACTGACTTCTGTGTAAAGCCTATCCCATACTCCTTGCAAAAATAGGGCTTCTCCCCTGAGTGTATCCTGTGGTGTTTTATGAGATGTGACTTTTGTGTAAAGCCTTGCCCACACCCCCTGCAAACATAGGGCTTTTCCCCAGAGTGTGTCCTCTGGTGTGTGATGAGATTTGACTTGTGTGTAAAGCCTCTCCCACACTCCCTGCAAACATAAGGCTTCTCCCCTGAGTGTGTCCTCTGGTGTGTGATGAGATGTGACCTCTGTGTAAAGCCTTGCCCACACTCCCTGCAAACATAGGGCTTCTCCCCAGAGTGTGTCCTCTGGTGTGTGATGAGATTTGACTTGTATGTAAAGTCTCGCCCACACTCCCTGCAAACATAGGGCTTGTCCCCTGAGTGTGTCCTCTGGTGTCTGATGAGATCTGACTTGCATGTAAAACCTCGCTTACACTCCCTGCAAACATAGGGCTTGTCCTCTGAGTGTATCCTGTGGTGTCTTATGAGATGCGACTTCTGTGTAAAGCTTCGCCCACACTCCCTGCAAACATAGGGCTTGTCCCCTGAGTGTGTCCTCTGGTGTGTGATGAGATGTGAGCCATGATTGAAGCCTTGCCAACACCTTCCATACCTGATCGTTACAATTCTTGACATTCCTACTTTCACAAATAACTTCCCTGTGTCCTCTGGACTCTCTTTCTGGCCTCTACAGGGCTCTTCCTCCATCATTCTCTCATGCTCACTAGAGTTTCTCATTTGTTCTTTGGAAGGTTGGAAAAAGGGTCTTGAGATTCTCCTCTGACTGATTCTTTTAAGCAAAAATTCTGACCTTTCTTTAACCTCTTGATGTTCAGCTTTTTCATTCCAGCTGCATGTACAAGTATGTTGCTGCTGCTGATTCTTATCCTCTGGACAGGGTTCCTCTGCTTGGAGGTGTTTTCTTGCAGATGTTCCCGGGAGAATCTGAGAGGGATGATTGAATTTCACGTGTTGGCTGAGGAATTTCTGACTGGAGAAGGCCAGAGAGCAGGAGGGACATGGGTGAACCTCTGGCTTTGGTTCTGCTGAAAGAGAAAGATTTGGTCAGGGCAGACATTGATGAGAATGCCTGGGCCATGACTTGTCTCCTAGTGACACCTGCCCCATGAATCCTCTTACTGTGGTGACAACAGAAGTTGTATCTCCCATAAAGTGTCCACTTGCCATCTATTTTCCTTTTTATTTTTATGCAGTGGGTCTTCAGAAATCCAGAAAGCCCACATCAAGGGTCTTTTCTAACTTTCTCCCTCTTCCTCTCTAAAAATAAATAAAATCCTAAAAAATAAATGTCCTTCCTCAAGCCTCACACCAAATATTTATGCTTCATCTCATTTAGTGTTAGCCCATTTCAAATACACTGAGAAGTCCTGTTTCAAAATTTTTCTCCAACCACATGTCTTACACGCCTGACTCCTGTTGCTCTTTGGCCAATCCACCATGTGCTTTCATTTGGAGGTGAAGCGATGTCTCAGGGGATTCCCCACTGGGGTTTATTTTCTACAAATTAACAAAGCATGATCAGAACAGAGAACAGACCACTCTACAGCTGACGACTGCACACTTACACTCACGAAAGTCCCCAGTGTCTCAACTCTGGTCATCAGCACTACATTTCCGGGCTGCTAAGCATCCATCTGGTCTCTGTTCTTAACGTCTATGCTGAGACGACACTTGAGTGACCCTCAGACAATTCTATGTGTCACCTTTTCTTCCCTGTACTAGCTGCTCCCTCAGCTGGGGATCCCTTGCCCACAGGTGTTTTTGTAAATGTTGCCTCCCGAGACAGCCCTTCCTGGACACACCTGCTCTCACACTGATCCTTGGGCACTTGTCCTGGATTAGTTTTCTCCACAGCACTAACCCCTGTGTAGTGTTATACACATGCAAGCACGTGGGCCTGGGTTTCCCTGCTACACCCATCAGTCCTTCAAAAGCAGTGGTTCTGATCCACATGTTAATCTGTATTTCCTGATCCCAGGACCGTGTGCGCCACAGAATAGGACCTCTCATGATAATTCACTGAAATGACGAACGAATGTACCCTGCCTGAATGGTGTGGCTCAGTGGGTTGAGTGTTGTTCCACAAACTGAAAGTTTACAAGTTCAGTTCCCAGTCAGGACACATGCCAGGGTTGTGGGCCAGTTGGCGGTGTGCCAGACACAACCGATTAATGTTTCCCTTGCACATTGAGGTTTTTTCCCCTCCTTTCTACTCTGTAAAAATAAATAAAATATTTTTTACAAAAGACTTATTTATTTTCAGAGAAGAGGGAAGGGAGGGAGAGGGAGAAGGAGAGGAAAACATCTGTGGTTGCCTTTCACATGCCCCCTACTGGGGATCCGGCCTGAAACCCAGGTATGTGCCCTGACTGGGAATCTGCAACCCTTTGCTTCACAGGCTGGCATTCAATCCACTGAGCAACACCAGCCAGGGCAAAGTCTTTAAAAAATAATGAGTGCCTATAAACAGAAACATGTTATTTAGAACTATGGAGGAAAGTTAAGAAGAAACAGCTATAAAAATGACAGAAAAACGGCCTTGGTGAGAGAGCTGGTTAGTGCTTAAAATTTTTTTTTTGCCTCTCAGCCTCACAGCACTAAAAGTGGTTGTATATTTTGTGCATGAAATATTTTAAAAATAAAAAATAAAAAAATTTTGCCTAAGAGTCACAGGTGTATGAATGAATCGTGCATTTCTAAAGCATCTGATGTGAAACTTTACTGACTTTAGAGTGGATTTTACTCTACTTGGGAGTTGGATCATGGATATTTCTATGGAGAATTCTCTCTTTTTTTTCTGTTTTAAAGAATAGTGGTGCCCACCTCTTCCAGCTGCCAGCTCTCTCTTCCACTTGCTGCCCCATTTGCTGCCCAGCTCCTGGCCATACTCATCCCCGAACCAGGCCAGCAGCTCACAGCCCGGCACGACAACCCGGCAGGTTCGGTAGAAAATCTGCCTGCGATATTGAAAGGCCACCAGGTTCTGCTCTTCATCATCCCGGGCACAGTTCACATACCTGGGATTAAGGCACATGAAGGGAAAGAAAGAAAACCACAGTGATGAGATTCCAGTAACTGTTATATCCATGTCCTTCTCACTGAATCTAAAGGCCCTCAGGCTCTGGTATTGCCCACTGCCCCTCATGCTCCCGGGGAACCTTTGTTCAGTGTCTGAGCCTCTGTCAGCATATCATGTGAACTCCTATCTCCAAGTTCTGTTTGCAGTGCGAATGCTGCCTAATACCATTTTCTAAAACCCAGTTCTAGACCTAACCTCCACTCTGATGGGCCATAATATCCCGTGATCTCTGGCTGCTGCAAACTCTACATCAAGTTGTCTCACACCACAGAGCCTGGTGCTTGAGCTAGGGCTCTGATTCTAAATTAGCTCACTAATTATCCAGTACTCGGCCCACATCTATTTTCTCTTGTGAGGCCTTTCTGCAACCTCTCTACACTTTAGAATACCATTTACTTGCTTGCCCCAGGTTACTATAGAAAATTATAGGTCTTTTTGTCTTAGTAAAATGAAACAGAAAAATAGTAGTTGATTCACATTCAGGTGACCCTGGTAAAAGGGAGCCCCCCTTAGGAAAGGGGCCCATGACCATTCCTCTGCAGGCCTCAGAGCGCAGTTCTACTTAGAAGTGAGGCTGGGATGATGTACTGCCCTTACAGCTTTAGGCCATCCGTGGTTTGTGCTATCTTGACACTGTGCACTTTTGGAAATTATAGTTAAATGTTTGTAAAAGCAATTGTTTTATGTTTGTCTGTGAGAAGTCCTCCATAAGAACATGGGTTGTGTGATCTATTTAAGCAATGTATTCCTTCACCTAAATTGGAATACAGTAAGTGCTTAATTAATGCTCATTTGATAAATTAAAGTGTAATCCAGTGTCCCTGGTGAATCTAGGCTCTTTAAGGTCTTTTCCAGTGCCCAAGTGTGTCTATTAGAGAGCTTTATATTTTGAGGACATACGCTATACTTTTTTCCTAAATTGGTCCTGAAATGAAAGAACACTGCGTAGAGAAAAAGAGGAAAAAAGGATGAAGGGAGATAACTGACGGAGGCATGATGAGAGGGAGAGATGTATGGGTTTGTGGGGGATGACAGTCCCCTCTGGCACCCAGAGACCTGTTGACCTCACCTCATCCAGTTGGCCCAGGGTCTGTCCTTTCCATCCACATACTCATAGCAGTTTCTCCCTTTGGCGATCTGTATTTCAGAAAAGAAGTTAAAGACCTTTTATTTTTTTTTGTGGGTAGGTAATAGTCAGAATTCCTTTACTCTACTGTCATTAAAGCTCTTCCAGCGTGCATGGGGACTCAACTGCCAGTTGTCACCACATGATATTTTTGTTAGTCATCATCTACACATCCGACTCTACCTGTCCAATCAGAGGGGGAGCCCCACAAAGGAGGAGCCACTCTTTTGTGTCTGTACCATTTTGCTCCCGCTCACCTTCTGATCCTTAAACAGGAGCTCTGTGTTCATGGGAAGTCCAGTCAGTATACAGAGCTAACCATATTGTCCCCTCCATACCTAGCACATAAGAGTGAGGTCCCTTCAAGCCTCAGAAGGAATGTGGGAAGCCAGAGGACAGTGGAAGAGGTAAACAGTTCTCACCAGCCAGGAGTATCTGCTCTTGGCTGCCTCTTCATCTTCTGTGATGTGTCCTTCATAAGGGCCAAAGAGGAGACCCACTGGCAAGTCTGCTGCCTCATTCCACACTCCAAGCCCAGCCTCAGGGATGCATGATGGCCCGATTCTCAACCCAGGGGGCAGGGTGAGGGCTGAGCGGTGGGGATGCCCCTTGTCTACTGCACTGTCCTTTACAAATGTAGGGGGTCCATGCACCGCACAGCTGTCGATGAAGAAGTTCTGACACTTCTCACAATCTGGAGGCAAGAGCAACAGGGGTTAGGGAAGGTATAGTGCATGTTCCTGGACACAAACAGCTTCAGAGGGAGTCGGGCACTGACATCATTGAGACTCAATCCTGTTCCCTACGTCACTAGAGGAAGGGAATGGTTTAGGGAGCAAAGGACTAGATGAAATTATTGTATCATAACATGTTTCTCAGTGAGGGTCACTTACAAAGGTAGTCATCATCCTGGGGCTCGTTGACCTCTTGGTACACTTGGCCCTTTCTTTCTCGTAGGCTGTACATCTTCATGTCCATCTTCTTTCTCTTGAGTTCTAAGTTGGAGGCCAGGTGAGCGAGGCTGGTAGGGCCTGCAGTGTTAGTTCCCATGTTGTCATATAACACACAATCTCCTCTCATCAATTTATTACCTGTCCTTTTGCATACTCTGGTATTTTACTGTGAACTATTGGCTCAGAAGATGAAGACTCCACACTAACTACAGATGACTGATTCAATTGTAGTTTCTAGATCTTCCCATTACCAGGTTTAATTTGCCAACCTGTAATCATTCATAAAATATTTATTGGGTACGCTTTATGTGTTAGGCATTGAGTAAAGGCCTGGGCACACAACACCAATAAAGTGTGGTTGCCATTATCACAGTGGATTTATTGGACAAGTTGCATGTGTCAATTGTCTTAAATTTGATTTAATGTTTTCAAATACTGTATGAGTGGTGTTTCCTTATCTTCACTTTACACAGTAGTATTCAGGAGCTCAGAGAATGTATAGGATTTGCCTAAAGCTCCAGTGCTAACTATAGTCTCAGGTGAGCCCAGCTTAAATCCAGGCCCATCCAAACTCCACCTCACATACCTAGGTCATACTTATCAGCCCTTCTATAGGACTTAGAAGAACTAAGTTTCCAAATTATTTTTTCTTACCCAATTTTTGTCTAGGGTGCTTTCCAAAGGCACATGGTTCTCCAAGAAGTGACATTGGTTTCTGAGCATGCTCTGAGTCACTTACAGTCATCAAATTTGTTGTTCCTGACAATTCCTTCAAACTATATTCCTTGCTTAATGGCACCCCGGATGTTGCCTTCAATGTAAGCGTCACATATTAAAAGATAAAATGTATTTAATTTTTTAAGGCTTATGATACATTTTACATGCATGTCTTTAATACCTCAACCCTTGAAAATACCTAGGGAGTATGAATAGGGGATAGGGCCAATGTGGGTAATGAATCCAAGATTAGAACTCATGCTTTATGGCTCTTTTCTTTCAACTGTCTGTATAATATTGAGAGTGAAGGATATTGGGAAGAGAATAAGGAAATAGTTGGCAGAAACATATCTACACAATAAAATGGTGATAAAATCTACAATACCTTAGAAAGAATATTTGTACTTAGATTAGCTGGTTCCCACCAATTCTGTTTGAATAAGCCCGTATTGGTAGCTAGTGTTCTTCAGTTTCATGATCTGTAACATGCTAATTTTGAATGTTCTAGTGAATGTGCCATTAAATAATGCTCACCAGTGTTCTGTGAATTCTGTAACAGTATGAATGTGAGAATACAGTCCTGCTATCAATTTACCTCTCAGCTCTCTCCATATTTCAAATCTCATAGAAATTACCTTCAGCATTTATTGATCTTCTTCTAGTTTAATTTGTAACTGTGAAATTACTCATTCAGCAAACATTCAGGGGGCTCTGATCTGGGTCTGTAACCCTTGAGAAGACTCAGGTATGCAACAGCCTCTCAAAGAGCTCACAACACAGAGGTAGGCAGGCTGAACAAATGATTCTGAACAGGATGAGAGTGGCCTCATTGGAACTCAGAGAAAGAAGCTGTTACCTCACCTTATAAGAAACGGCATTTGAAATCAGTTCCAGACAGATGAGTTTCTATTGAAGAGCATGTAACCTATATGAAGTCCTTAAGTCATTTTATTATTTGTTGTTTCTCAATCATGAAACCTGAAGCTACTCAGGGGTGGTAGATGCTCTTTGATTAGAGTGGGAGGCTGTGATCCTGAACATTTTATATATTTCTTCACTTGGGACCATCCACTGTACAAACTGCCTATGCAATGTACGCTTTCCTTAGTCAGTGGGTCTTAGTGCATCTCTTACTTCAGCATAGCAGAAATTTGTTTAAAATCATCAGTCAGATGAATGATGTAATGACATATGGATAAGACAATGTAAACTTCAGAAAACTATGAAAGTTAATTTTTCTAATTTTTAAAAAAGATTTTATTTTTTTGAGGGAGGGGAAGAGAGGGAGAAAGAGAGGGAGAGAAAGATCCATGTGAGAGATGTTTCAGTGATCAGTCACTTCTCACAAATACCCCCAATGGGAACCTGGTCCACAACCCAGGCATGCACTCTGACCAGGAATCAAACGGGTGATCTTTTGCTTTGCAGGATGACACCCAACCAATTCACACTGGCTAGGAAAAAACTGAAAGTTTTAATGAGTTTGTAAGTGGTTTAGAGAAGAAACTATGGATTAGACTGCACAAGCACTGATACTGTGATCTTAGACATATAATCAAACATTTCTATATCTCTGAAAGATCACTTTCCTCATTGTAAATGGTGACAGTTACAGTACCTTCCTCATCAGGTGGTTGTATGTGCGAGTGAGTAAATTCACATAAAATTGTTAAAGTCTGAAACATTGTGAGAATGAAACAAATGGTAGTTACTATTGCTGCTGTAGTTGTTAACCATTAAGATGATGATGAGCCCTGGCTGGCGTGGCTCAGTGGACTGAGCCTGCAGACTGAAAGGTCACCAGTTCCATTCCCGGTCAGGGCACATGCCTGGGCTGTGGACCAGGTCCCCCGACTTGGAGGTGTGGGAGAGGCAACCTATTCATGTTTCTCTCCCTCTCTCCCTCCTTTCCCCCTCTCTAAAAAAGTCGATAAATAAAATCTTTAAGGAAGGATGATAATGTCAGACAGTGTGTTGAAGAGACCAGGAAAGGAAGGCATCAGTTCCTAGGATACTTTTTGCATTTCCCTGCTCTTACCTGCCTTTCTATCCATGAGGAAAATTTTGTCGTCAACAGGATTTGGGAAATACTCACCTTCTGGTGTTTACTGTGTTCCCTTCTGCAGGCCACCCAGGAAGGTTTCACTGAAAAATGATGAGAAATCAGTGTTTTGGTTGGTAAATGTTTCCAAAACCTGGAGATTCTTATTAGGGACACAGACTTTTGAATGAGAGCAGTCCAAGAACAATCCCAGGATGATTGGAAAATGTTTTCTGATGTTCACTAAGGCCTAGGCTTCTATTGGGGCCATCCACTAATTTCATTAGAATGATAAAAAAATAGACAAAGTGTCATCTATGCTTCACCCTTTGTTCACAAACCATCTATTACATTTATTAAAGAATAAATTGGCCTCTCCTGACAAAAAAGTGGTAAAACTAACTGCACAGAAACCCCACGTCTTCAACATAACCCTTTCTCTGTCCTGTTTTCTTCATTCACACTGGCCTTGTCCCGGCTGAGGGCACCTCGACCACCCGGCCTCCTTTCTCTGGTATCCTCCCCGCCGGGCACATACCGGCCACCCACGCCCTTCCTCAGTCATTAGACTCCCGTCAACACCCACAGTCTGCTGACCCCAGAAACAGAATTCCAGTGAAGTTGAAGATCACATCTTGACTTCAGCCGTGTGTCAACCCCAGACCCACGAAAGTGGACCGACCCCACCCTCCGAACACTCACGATACTGGACAGAACATGGGGCCACATCAGGAAACCACACGTGATCAACCCCTCCTGACCCCGGCCCTCCCCCACTCCGGTCATCACCAGGTGAACACTGTCCCCGCCCGTCTCCATGCGGGCCACCAAGCGGCCAGGTGTGGGGACCCTCCTCACCGGCCAGACCCGCCCCCTCCCTTGCGATGACGACCCTTCTGAATTAGTTATTTCTCGCTCACTTTATGTTCTTACACATTCACTGCTTACTAATGCGTCTATAAATATAGACGATTACGTTGCCCACGTGAAAGTTGACGGGAACAGCCCCTCACTGTGCGACACACTGTTGTGCCTCTTCCTCGTTCGCTGCACCAGCAAACCTGTTCCCTGGTGACGTCCTGAGATGCCGCCCGACCCACACCAGGTCCGAGTCGGGAGGGCAGCGCTGGCTCCTCCCGCCGCTCACCTTGCTGCCTCGGAGCCCGTTCTTCATCCGAGTCCTCAGGGTCCTCCTCCTGGAGCTCGGTGGCCCGCCTGCCTGCGGCGGTGACAGGAAAGCCGGTCGCGGGGCCCTGAGACCTGGGGAAGAGACGAAACCTCTGTCCTGAGGCAGAGAGCGTGGGGGACGGACAAGCCCAGGAAGCCCGATGGGACGGGAGAGTCCACAGTTGCTCACAGCAACAGCGAGTCGCCGTGAGCGCTGCTGGGTCGGCGCCGGCCCGCTCTGACTGAAGGAGCAAACTCCCCCACCGGGGTCCGAGCGGGAGGGAGCTGCAGGCGCACGGAGCCCTGAGCCGGGGCCAGCCCAGCGCCTGCCGGGTCTCCAGGCCCCGGGGCCCGGCGCCTGCGCACGCGCTACCTGGGCCGGTGAGCGCGACCGAGTTCCTCTTCACGTCCCGGTACCGGCCTTTCTCCCCGAGGGCAGGGCGCCCGGAGAGGGGGACAGAGGGGCTGGATGGGCCGAGCTGCCCGCAGACCCGCCTGCGGGGGCGCCCGCAGGGACCCCCCACTTGTTCCCGCCCTTCCCTCCGAGCGCCGCCTCAGGGCGGGCTCCGGAGGCCGCAGCACGGGCGTCTGAGGGACCCCGTCGGCCGGGCGGGCCTGTGGCGGCGCAGGAACCGCGCTTCTCCCGGGGAAGGGCCGGGAGGCGCCCCGGGGTCCGGAGAAGCCCGCGCGAGGCGCAGGCGCAGTGTCCGGCAGACCGCTGTCTCTCGGGCTGAGAGGCCCGGGGTCCCTCAGGACTCGATCTGCGTCTTCCGGGCGGAGGACACTCCGCGTCCCGGGGCAGAGGGCCAGACCGCCGCGGCTGAGGGGGTTGGGGCGTCTCACGAGGGGCTTCCGGGTCCCCTCCACTGAGTCGGTTTCCAGGACGACGGCATTCGGGGTCTCTGAGTTTGGGGAGGTTTGGACTTCCCGGGCGGGCGGGCTGCAGGAAGGGCGCCCCGAGCCGAGGGGAACTGGGGTTCCAGGCTGTTTGGGGGTCTGAGCGTTGGGGGTCAGGAGACGTGGGGTCCTCCGGGTTAGCGGACGCGGCCCCTCGGTGCTGAAGGGGTTCGGGCCCCTCGGGATGAGGGCATCTGGGGTCTCTCTGGCTGGACTTGGAAGGTCTCGGGCTGAGGGTTGCACAGGGCAGGGCTCCCCGCTTACCGGTCAGTCTCCCAGGTCTCTGTCGCGCTGCCCACCGCGCTGAGGGCCCTCTCCGGGCTCCTGGGCTTCCCGCCCTCGGGGAGCAGGGCGGGTGCCCGAGGCGAGGTTCCTGCCCGGATAGCCGCGTGGGAGCAATCCGCCAATCAGCGCTGCGATCCCAGGGCCCTGCCCGCCAATGGGCGGCCAGAAGAAGTTGAACGGGCAGACGGGGGTGGAGGAGGGGTGGGGGGGTTGAGCCCCGTCGGTTCGGGACTGGCCAGCGGAAGGCCCGCCCCGCCCGCGGGGATTGGCTGCTCAGCGTCTCCCGAGCGCCAGTCACACTGCCTGCAGAGAGGACCACCTTGGCGGTTTCCGTGGCTAGTTTTCCAGCGGCTGGTGAGGGACCCGACCCGCGGGAGCTGGGAGCTCCGAGCCCGGGCAGGTCTTTAGGGTGGATGTGGCCCTCCTGCCACCTGACAAAGTGTCTTTGTTGCACCAGAGTGTAGTCGGGATCCCCAACTTTCGTCTAGACCCCTCCATGCCCTCCCTTGTCAAACCCACTTTCAAAAATAGCTGCATAACCAGCGAGGGCGCGGTCAAGACTGCACTGCATTCTGGGAAACTTGTCAGTAAATCCTGACCATGCAATTCCTAGACACAAAAGAAGTCCCAGAGGGCTCAAAGACTGAACACAT